CAAGCTGCTCTGCTGCAGCAAAGTAGGAGCGACGTAAACCCCACAAATGCTCAAAAAATCTTGCAAACCCTAATTCCATCTGGCTTGCTGCAACGACACAAACCCTAAACCCTAAACCCTAAACCCTAAACCCTAAACTCTAAACCCTAAACCCTAGGATTATTAGCCATTAAAAGTTATTATTTAATTCTTATAAATCAGTCATAGTATGATTAATCTGCACAATAAACTCTAGGGTTTAGGTTTTACGCTTTATCTTTTGCGTGGCTCGAATTAGGGTTTAGGGTTTAGGGTTTAGGGTTTAGACACCAGATAGGGTTGTGTTGCCGGATGTCAAGAACTGGAGGTAAAGCTTAACAAGAGAAGTGCCAAACCGCTCCATAGCCTGCACGTAAACCCTAAACCCTAAACCCTAAACCCTAATTATTAATTCTACGCCGCGTACCGGTTACCCCAACCCTAGTTTTGTATGCTTATTCCCAAACCCTAAACCCTAAACCCTAAACCCTAACCTCTAATTTTTTATTGGCCAGGCCTATCTGGAGAGAGAGGAGGCGAACTGCATGTAGGGTTTCTCTTTGCTTCTCTTGCTGTTGCTGCTGCTGCTGCTGCAGCAGCTGCCTGTCCCTCTGTGCCCGTCTCTCCGATGCAGCAGCACGGGCAGCCCAGCAGCTCTAAACCACAAACCCTAAACCCTAAACCCTAAACCCTCAAGAGCAAACCATCAGCCCCAAGGGGATAACAATGCATGAGTATGCTAACGTAAATGCTGCAGCAATGCCCCCTAAACGCTAAACCCTAATTCTTCAACCATAAACCCTAAACCCTAAACCCTCAAGATGAGCACTACGTTTGCGTACTACTTCTTCCTTTGCTGCTTTGGCAACACTTTGCAGCCTCCTGCAAAGACACAGCAAACCCTAAACCCTAAACCCTAAACCCTAAACCGTAAACCGTAAACCATAGATCATGCAACACTTCCGCTCTTCGGTAAGAGAGATAAAACCCTAAACCCTAAACCCTAAACCCTAAACCCTAATCCACCCTCACTCTTTATACAGGGCAGCTCGCCTCCTTGCTAGGGTTTCCTTCTCCCTCAGGGCCTTCGACACCACCACAGTATTCCCCTAAACCCTAAACCCTAAACCCTCAACCCTAAAAGCAGTATGATGTTCTTGGCAGCTAAGATTTAGGGTTTAGGGCCAAGCGAATAGTGTTTAGGGTTTAGGGTTTAGGGTTTAGGGTTTACGTCATAAAGGCGTTGGTCTCCTTGTTGTGCGGCATTTGTTTTTAGTTGTTTTATTCTATTCTACAAGAAACAAAAAACCCTAAACCCTAAACCCTAAACCCTAAAAAGGAGACCAGATGCAAAAGGAGGCAAAGGGTTTAGGGTTTAGGAAGCGGAAACAAATGGACACAAACAAGGGGCACAAACAGGCACACGCACAATGCCAAGAGAATATAGCTAAACCCTAAACCCTAAACACTAAACCCTAAACCCTAAACCCTTAAGCTTACATGCAGTTTGTGCTCCCTTTTCTTCCATTTGTTTTCCTTCTCCGTCTTTTTACGCCTTAGCTCGAAGTACTCTATCCATTGCCAGAAACCCTAAACCCTAAACCCTAAACCCTAAACCCCAAACCCTAAAACCCTAGACCCCAAACCCTAAACCCTAAACCCTAAAAAAATAACCGCAGCTCACTGTCAGCAAAGGTTGGCAATTCCTCCGAGTATACACCTGAGCTGTACATACACCCCAAAACGTTCACAGACAAAAGAATTAGGGTTTAGGGTTTAGCGTCTATAACTATAAAAGAAGGGGGGTTAACTCACAGAGACTTAGAGGGGCATTTTGCTGCTGTTGCTGCAGCAGCAGCAGCAGCAGCAGGTGCTGCTGCTGCTGTTGTTGGTGTTTCTGTTGCTATAGATGCTGCTGCTGGAGACGCTGCCGCTGCTGCTGCTGCTATTGCTACTGGTGTTGTTGCTGCAGCTGTTGCTGCTGCTGCTGTCACTGCTGCTGCTGTTGCTGCTGCTGCTGCTGCTGCTGCATCTTCTGACGTTGTAGCCGCCTTTGAATCCTGTGCAGCAGCCAAACCCTCTTCTAGTTTTGAGGGTTTAGGGTTTAGGGTTTAATGGTGGGTAGCCGATGCAGCATAAGGGTTTTGTTATTGTGTCTACCCATCTCCTCCCCCTTAAACCCTAAACCCTAAACCCTAATTCTTTATGCGTACGTCCGGCGAATTGGTCGTCTTGTCTGTTCTTGGAGTTGGAGGAGGAGCGCTGCGACTGGTCAAAGGGATGGGGGGTTTAGGGTTTAGGGTTTGCGTAGGGTTTGGGGTTTGCGTAGGGTTTAGGGTTTGTGGATATCTGAGGGTTGAGCTCTTCCTATTCACCACAGAAAGAAAACAGAAAATGTCTTCGCTTGTTGCCCTAGGGTTTAGGGTTTAGGGTTTGGGGTTTAGGGTTTAGCTACCAAGGCCGCACCTGTAAACCCTTGGACCCTCCCTCCCTTGATAGATTAGTTGTTGCAGTGGTGATCCTGCTCCTCCTCTTGTTGCTTCTGCTGCTGCTTTTGCTGCTGCTTTTGCTGCTGCTGCTGTTGCTGCTGCTGCAGCTGCAGCTGAGGAAGGGGGGCAGAAGGCAACAACGCAGCATATGAATTCTGTTAACCGCCCATTTATACCCTTAATAGGGTTTAGGGTTTAGCAGGGTTTATTAGGGTTTAGGGTTTATTAGGGTTTAGGGTTTAGGAGGGTTTAGGGTTTATGGTACACACGATCTATTTCATAGTAAAGTTCCTCCATTAGGGTTTTGCTTTCTTTCTTTACAAGACTCATTCGTCGCTGCAGCAGTGTAAACCCTAAACCCTAAACCCTAAACCCTAAACCCTAGGACGCCGTAACGGCATTATTTGCAATAGAGACCCTGTAAACCCTTATCAACGTAACTGTGAGGGCTGAATCCAGGAGTCTAAACCCTTTACCCTAAACCCTAAACCCTAGAGGCTAGCCTGTTGTTGCTGAATGCTTTGAGGGAAGGGGAGACACTCGGGGCCTGAAGGAGACACAACATTAGGGTTTAGGGTTTATTAGCAGCAACAATTATATTTTGTTGTTTTCTTTTTATTTCCCTTTTAGTGTTTTTGTTTATTGCTTTTCCCTTCCTCTTTTCTGTTTATGCACCCCTGATTAGGGTTTAGGGTTTGTTTTCCTCTATCTGCGTTATGTACCTCCCCTTAAGGTTTAGGGTTTATTTCCCTTTGTCTGCATATGTACCGTCAATTAGGGTTTAGGGTTTCTTCCCCTTCGTCTGGGTATGCATCTTTTTCTAGGGTTTAGTAAGCCTGTATCTACACGATTAGGGTTTAGGGGTTAGGGTTTATTAGTCCTTTTTTCTGCCTATACACCCCAAGTGAGTACCTGCCTTTGTTGGGGTGTATATGCAGCTCTGTATTATGTAGTTCCTTAACAGCAGAAAAAGAAGAAGAAGGTAAGGAAATTTTTTTTTTTTCCTTTTCTTCTTTTTTTCTTGGATTATATAATTTAGGGGATAAAACTAATTGAATATCCGCAGAAGAAATAGAAGTAGGCAAACAATTATCTTTTTTTTCTTCTTTTTTATTCAATATATTATCCTCATCTATCCAACCACAAAGAGGATACTGATGATGATGATGATGATGATGAGCTAAAGGAGAAGAGCGTTGCATCTTTCTTAATTTAATTAGGTGTATATACACCTTATACACCGGGGAGAAAAAGGAAAAATTATTTCGTCATTTTTTCATTTTTTCTCTTTTTTTTTATTAGCAACTGTTAATACTGCTGCTGCGCCACGGGCAACCAACGACAAGGAATAAGAGATCTGTAGTATACCAGTAGGTGATTATGATTATATTATATCTTAATTAAATTAATTAATTAAATTAATTATAAATTCCTACAAAAAGCAAAGAATTACATGTAAAAAGCGCAAGAAAAAAGTTGCTTTCTTTTCCTTCTTTGGCGCCTCTGTGTGAGGTGTATGTACAGCTCAGAGGTGGAGCAACCAGTGATAACGGATCCTTACGTTTAGGCATTTTAATTGATTTTTCCCTTGATTTTATTGTTGAATTATGTTTAATTTACTTTTATTTTGCATTTTATTCAATAAACCCGAGAAAAAGCTCCCTATAGACAGCCCCAAGCCCCCCAGCAACAGCAGCATGTTACGTACATACGTACAACAACCATTCAATATACATGAATATACATGCATGACTGCCTGCATGCATGAAGAAGAGGAATAAAATTCTTTATTAGAGTTGTTTTCTTTATTTATATTCCTTTTCTATTCTTATTCAGGTGTATATTTATACACTCTGTCTCGCTACAACACCCTGCACTGCCGTTGACGCAACGCCGAGCAAGTATCTACTTGCCAAACCCTAAACCCTAAACCCTAAACCCTCGAGAGCGTTTGTATGCACTCTATATCCTCTATTTGATCATTTGCTTCTTCCTTTTCCTTCTAATTCTTCCCTAGGTCCCCCTCTAAAGGGAAAAAGCCCTAGGAGCTTCTACTTACGCGGAGGGCCCCTCTCCGGGGCCCCCCGTGGCCTGAAGCAGCAGCAGCATTACCAGCAGCAACAGGAGCAGCAACAACAACAGCATCAGCAGCAACAGCAACAGCAACAGCAGCCATTTACAGATGTCTAGTATCCTTGCTCCGGGGCCCCCCCTGGCCACCGGAGCTACAGGGTCTTCTTTACAGGGTTCTGGGGGCCCCCTCTCCTCATCCCTGGGGGGTGTGGGGCCCCAAACGCTTGCATGCGATGTGCTGCAGCTGCATGCGCTGCAGCTAGATGGTCCATTTCGGGCCTATAGGGGGCGTGGCAGTGCAGCAGCAGCAGCAGCAGCAGCTGCTGCTGCTGCTGAGCTGCAGCAGCAAAATACAAGTTCTGCTGCTATTGCCATGGAAAGCCAATTAAGAGATAATCCCTTCGATAGACAAACATGGGATGCTCTAATAGCTGTACGTACACCTGCTGCTGCTGCTGCTGCTGCTGTTGCTGTTGCTGCTGCTGCTGCTGCTGTGCCTGTTTCGGTGTTCTCTGTTCCTCCTACTGTTTATATTTTACTGTTTACTTCCTACGATCTATCCTTTATCCATTATTGTTTATAATATATTCATTAGTGTGAATAATTTATAATTTAGATTTTTAGGGTTTAGGGTTTAGGGTTTAGGGTTTAGGGTTTAGGGTTTGTGGTGTATATACAGGAGTCTCCTTCATCAGATTTATTAGAGAGGGCTCTTCTTATATTTCCTACTTGTGTAAATTATTGGCGACAATTAGCAGAATATGAATTCTTTAGAGGAAATATAAATAAGGCAAAAGGGGTTTATGCTAGATCCTTGCATGCATGCCCTCAGCTAGGTATAATTATTAACCCTAAACCCTAAACCCTAAACCCTAAAAATATTTACCATCAGGTCTATTATACATCTGCATAAACCCTAGGCATACACGCAAAACCGCAAAAAAATGACACAGGGGATGTTATGCTCACCTAAACCCTAAACCCTTATTTTCTCCAGGGAATAAACATTAATAAACACTCATAAGGAAGTGTTAGAGGGAACTGGGGGCTTTCTATCACACCTAAACCCTAAACCCTAAACCCTAGCTGTAGACACGAGATCCACACCCCACTCGACAAGTTTGTCATCCAAATCTGTAGCTTGCGGCCTAGTACCTAGGGTTTAGGGTTTAGGGTTTAGGGTTTAGGGTTTGGGGTGTCTACGCAGAGCTGTGGATGTCCTACGTCAAGTTTGTTTACTGTACGGGCACTGTTGATGAATTCCGTCAGGCATTAACTCGAGCAGTAGAGAAGGTAAACCCTAAACCCTAAACCCTAAACCCTAATCTGTAAACCCTAGTTCGAATACCTTCAATAACAGCTTGGCCTAATACGTTGCGTGTCGAGCCCTAAACCCTAAACCCTAAACCCTAGATCTCGATCTTATTTACTTATTTTACAGCAGCTGACACCAGTGAACACGCCCATCCACCGCTAAACCCTAAACCCTAAACCCTAAACCCTTTTTTTCTTCGTGCTGCAGCTACGATGGGACCCTAGGACGGGGCCCCTATGGGAGGAATTGCTGCTGCTGCTGCTGCGTATTCGCAATGCTTCTTTATTAGAACGAGGACAGGTTCAGGGTCTTCTTTCTGATTTTACTAGCAGGGTATAAACCCTAAACCCTAATTAAACCCTAAACCCTAATGCAGCAGCTTCTTGCTGCAATCAAGAACGATGGCTGCTGCAGTCATCATCTTTTTCACGTTGTTTGCTGGTGGCTTATCGGCAGCGAGTCGCTGCCAAAGCTTTTTTTTTTAGGGTTTAGGGTTTAGGGTTTAGGTTCGAGGGTTTAGGGTTTAGGGTTTGGCGTGCGGCCTCAGGCCACAGGCCCTTTGGTTCCAACGGACTTGGAGCAGAAAGTGTTTAGAGCCCCATTAACTCCTGGGGGCTCCAGCCTCACCGAGCAATATACCGACATTAACTTGCTGCGTACAGCTTTCCAATCTGTAGGGTTTAGGGTTTAGGGTTTAGGGTTTGACTGAGGCTGGGGCATAGCCGCAGATCCTTTACGAATAATCAGTTCCTTTTTGCATGTCGCCGGATATGTGGACTTGTTAAGATGCGATTATTTTAGACATGAAAATTTTAGGGTTTAGGGTTTAGGGTTTAGGGTTTAGGGTTTGCGTTGCAGTGTTTACGTCGTCCTATTGCGGGTTTGGAGGGTATATGGGGTGCTTATTGCGCATTTGAGCGAAGCGTCAAATCCAATATGCAATTAACATCTAAACTTCTTTCTTCTTTTGAGGATAAATTTGCTGCCTCTAAGAGGGCATATGCTGTGAGGGTTTAGGGTTTAGGGTTTAGGGTTTAAGGGTTTAGGGTTTAGGTGTGAAGTCCTGTATGGTGGTGGAGAGGGAAGGAATTACGAATACAGAGACGGTTTACGGTCTATGGTTCAAGGCGTTGCATCCACACATACAACTTTAGGGTTTAGGGTTTAGGGTTTAGGGTCTAGGGTTTGTGGTTGCAGGAGTTGATGAAGCTTATGAAGGATATTGATTGGTCTTCTGTGGCGCTTCCGCTCACCATTCCTGACAAGTCGCGACACGTAAAGCTTAGGGTTTAGGGTTTAGGGTTTAGGGTTTAGGGTTTGTGCTGTTTAGGGTTTATGGTGTTGAGGGTTTATGGCATATGAGGGTTTGTATCAATAGCATTTGTATCGGATTTTTTGCATGGTTTGCTCGTTCTAGGGTTTAGGGTTTAGGGTTTATTATTTATTATATGCAGGCGCATGCATCATCATGGCGTCAAGTATTATCTTATGAGAAAAAAAACCCTCTAGGGTTTACGTATTCAGATTTTTTAGCTAGGGTTTCTCAAGCTTACCAGACATGTCTTCTTTCTTGTGCATTCATGGCTGATCTTTGGTTCGATTTCTTCCAATTCCTTCTTGCTCATCAAATGCCTACTAAAGGTATACACAATTAGGGTTTAGGGTTTAGGGTTTAGGGTTTTTAGGGTTTTGCGGTTCTAGGGGTTTTGGGGTTTTTTCGGGGTTTTTAGGGTTGTTTTAGGGTTTTTAGGGTTTAGGGTTTACAATCGAGTGTTAACAGTTCACCACAGAAATCCGAGGCCTAGGGTTTAGGGTTTAGGGTTTAGGGTTTAGTGTTTGTTGTGTTGTGTTTAGCCTCTGAGGTTCTTCGCCGCGCAATTGACAGGTTTCTTCCGGGCGACGGTGAGTTCATCTTTAGGGTTTAGGGTTTAGGGTTTAGGGTTTGGTTGATGATTCATGTTGCTTGTTTATGTTCATTCGTATATACCCCCGTTAATATATTACAATTAGTTAATTCTTTATTTCTTTTCCTTTTCCTCTCTAATAATTTTTTGAAATTTTTAGGGTTTAGGGTTTAGGGTTTAGGGTTTAGGGTTTACGATTTTTTTTTTTTTTTTTTTTTTTTTTTTTTTTTTTTTTT